GTCGATTCATTCTTACCCCTGCCTGGTCTTTCATTATACGACTACTTAGCTTATGTATTTACTCATTATTTCATTTCCCTGACAAAAAGAATTTGGATGGTTTCCAGCTTATGCTTCTGTTGTTGTTGCATTTTTGTTTTACATGTCTCTTGCTCTACATTTGTAGAAACAGGTTATATGGTGGTTAGTGAAATACTGGCTTTTGCTATATGAGCGTTTTCAACTTTCTTAGAGATTTTTCTGTTATCTTAGTAGCAGTATATAAACAAGCTTGCCATGCTACAGTCTTTCCAGTGCTTGATATGACTCAACTTTGAAATCTGTGCCAACCATTTGGGTGTAGAACAGTTACTCATTGTGGTTTTCATTTTGCATTCCCAGATTTTTAATGTTCCCTTACATTAAAAAAAAAGTGTTTACTGCTCATGTATTTATCCTGTGAAGAAACCATGTACCCTTTGTTTATTTTCTTGCAGTTTTGTTGGTTCTTTGAATGGAAATATCTAAAAATAATGGTGAACTTAACTATTATTTGTTATTACAGGTTTTGCATCATTTATTTGAATTTCCATTAATAGGCATATTAACATTTAGTATTATAAATACTTGTGATAAGTTAATAATTTAATATTGTAAAAAAAGTTTATGGTAATATCCCTGCTCTGAAATCTATGTCAATATAAATAGAGATGTCTTAGATTTTTTTTGACTAGTGTTAGCATCATATCTATATTTTATTTGATGTCATTTTGGGGTTAGGGCTACTCCTGGCTCTGTGCCTGAGTGAGTCTGGGTAGTACCTAGGGACCATATGTATTCTGGGATTTGATCCAGAATCACGTCCAAGTCAAGCACCCTGCCCCTAGCACTATGGCTATTACCCTATCCTGTCACTTTTAACCCTCTTATGACTACATTTAAAGTGACTTTCTAGAAGGCAGTATGTACCAGAGTCCAGTGGTTCTTTTTTTATCTGATGTTCTCTGCCTTCAATTATTTAGACCCATTTCCATTTGATGTTATTATTGATATAGTTAGCTTTGAGTGAAATATGCTATTTATTTTCTATGTGTTCTAATAGTGTTTTTGACACTTCCTCTTTCATTTAAAAATTATTCTGTTTTTTTAAGAAAACAATTTTTAAAATTAATTTTTTAAAACAATTCATTAAAAACATTTTGTTGGTTTGTCAGCTCTAAATCATAGTTTTATTATTTAATGTTTCCTGTTGGATTTCTAGGATTTTTTAATTGCTATTTTGGGGCCATATCCAGCTGTGCTTAAGACATCCTCCAAGCTCTCATCTCAGGGGTCATTTCTGGCAGGGTTTAGGAGACAGTATAGGGTATCAGATACAAAACCTGAGTCATCAAGCACCCTGCTCGCTTCACTATCTCTCTGGCCCCTCTTCATTCCTTTGTAGATCTATATTCCCACTTTGTACCCAATTTCTTCTGCCTGGAGGACTACCTCTCAGCCTGCTGCCCATTAATTTTAGAACTTATATCTGAAAAACTTGGTCTCATTTTAGAAACAATGGGTATAGAATTCTTGTTAGACACATTTTCCCTTCATTATTTTAAGAGTTGTGTAAACTCCGTTGTTTCTTCCTTACGTTGTTTTTGACAAAAAATCTGTTGATTCTCTTAGTTCATTCAGCTATTACATGTCTTTTCTTGTAGCTTTTAAGAATTGTCTCTTCATCACTGGTCTTGAGTAACTCTGTTGTGCTCTGCCTTAACACAGTTCTCTTCATTTGTCTTGTACTGATTTTAAATCCATGAGTTTACAGTCTTCATTAAATTTAGAAAAATATTCATTGTTTCATATATATTTATAATTTAGAAAAAATATTCAGTCATTGTTTCATATATATATTTCTCTCTCTCTTTTTTTTGACTTACTTTGAGATTCTGATCACTCAGATTCTGATCTCTATGATAATTGATTGGAGTCTGGAATCTGCATGTCTCCAATATTTTGGAATTTATGTGTACTTTATTTATGGGCCAATTTGTGCCCAACTTTTATAATTTTTTGTCTGCTTGAAAATAATGTGTGCTCTGAATTGTGGCATTCATTATTGTGCATTGTCATTTATATCAATTAGATAAGGCTTGTTAATATCTGCCATCCTTATCCTTTCTTTTCCAACCACTGAGAGACATTTGGAGCAAGATTATTCTAGTGATAAAAAATGAACTAAGGACTTCTCTCTAACTTTCTGGAGTACTATGCACAAGGTTACACTTTGGTTTCCTTTAATGTTTGAAAAACTCAGCTTAATTGAAACCTCCCATGACGGAGGTGGCCTTGTCAACTTTGCTTTGCAGTTGTGTCAATTTTTGCTTCACATACCTGAAACCAGTTTCTTATCTGTACACACATTTAAAACAGTGTAGTAATTATACGTCGACCCAGGTTATTTCTACAGATGCTCTCTATCTCCCTGTTGACATAAACTTTTCTTCTGAGTCTGCAAGAGATGAAACGGGGGGGTGGTGAGGAATAATATTTCTTTTATATTTTTACTTTTTATTTTTGTGTATTCTTATTGATATAAAGAATGTAGAATACACTATTTCAAAGCAATAGTATATAGTACTCTTTGTACTCTTTGCTGCAAACTCAATGTAGCCATTTAAGTTTTAAAGAATGGACTTTTTTGTAAGTTCTTAGATCAGTGACCAACCTGTGATTCTAATATTACAAATCTGGATTCTTACTTGAATGTTGATAAATTTCTTGGTTATTCACCTTATGAATAACCAAGTTATTCATCTAATGAATAAAGTAAAAATATGTATGTACAAAGATGTACCAAAATTTTCCTTATTAATCAGAGACAAGAATTAGTATAATTTGATTTTAATTGATTGATTAATTAATTTATTGGATCACCATGAGCACAGTCACAAATGGGATAATTTCAAATTAGGCTAATAGTTTACAAATGTCAGAATATTTCCTCAATTTAAAAAAGTATAAAAGCTTCCAGTTAATAGCTGTTGACTCTCTCCATGTCAATAAAACACACATACTTTGGGGTTGGTCTGGTGACTATGTAAAATTCTGTTAGAACTGTGCACATAAAAGGGACTTTAGGGGGCTAGAGGAATAGTGCAGCAGTAAGACACTTAACTTTTTTCTTACCTAGCAAGGTTCAATCCCTGGCACCATATATGGTGCCTTAAGTATTGCCAGGAGTTTACCCTTAGCACGGAGCCAGGAGTAAGCCCTGAGTACCTTCAAATCAACCAACCAAACAGACAACTTAATGGGATTTTGGACAATATAATTACCAGCCTCACATGCATCTTTTACAGAATTAAAGGAATGAAACATAAGAAATATAGTAGAAGCCTCTTATACGCTTTTCATGTTCCTTCACTCCCCAAAGACAACTACTAACCCTACAGATCATTCCTGACTTCGATTTCTATATGTTTGCCATATATATACACATATATACATTCAAAAAATACATGTATACATTGTTTCACATATTTTAAAATTTAAAACATATTTTTAATATTCTACAATGTAATTTTAACTGTAAAGACAGGATTAATAATGTTTATATATTTAAAATAAATAGGCTAAATATATTAGAAAGATTTAGATTTATAGAAAAACTGAGCAGAAAGAACTGCATCTCATCCCTCCAGTTTCCCCTACAATGGACATCTTGCACTACTATGAGATGTTTGTTAGAACTTATTGATGTATTACTATTAAAGAAAATTCATTGTTGATGAGCGTTGACAATTTTATAAAGCAAACCAGCCATTATAGTACCATTCAGAACAGTCTCACTGCTTTAATGCTCCACGTACTGCAAATGCTCTGCTCATTCACACCTGTCTCTATTCTGAATCTTGTAGTTTATTGCCACTTGACCTTATAGTTTTGAAGGGACTGCTCTAGTAGCAGGGTTATAAAAACTAGGTTAAATAAGCTGAGTGGTTTTTAGCAGATATTTACCTAGATTTTTTATTTTCTTAGAACACACACGCAAGCAGTTTTTCCCCTTGTAGTTCTGGAGGCTGGAAGCCAAGATCAGAGCACTAGGAAGGCCAGCGTGCCCTTGTTCATATCATAGATTTCTTTGCGCTCACACAGAAAAAGACACTAGCGAACCTTTTAAGATTTCTCTCCTAAGGGTATCGATGTGTTTTTGATGGGTCTGCTTTCATGACCTGAGCCCCTCCCAAAGGGTCTCATCTAATACCATCTCCTTGCACATTAGGATTCCAACGTGGAATCTGAGGAGATGCAAACATTCAAATCAGAGCAGAGGGTTACTTATACTCTGATTTTTCCATTTTGACTGCAAGTAGAGTTCATCTCTATGGATACACCTCACATTAATGATCTGGTCTACTGTTGGGTAGTTGGAAGAATGAGGGTTTCTTCTAGGATTTTACTTTTGCAGTATATGTGATAAATATGTATATATATATACACATATGTAAAACACCTATTGAATAAGTGCGGGTATGAACGAATGAATGTAGGACATTCATATTAAAAATGGCAGGATATACTGGACCATGTTGGTCTTTGTGATATAACAGGAGAATCTTATTCAAGTGGAGAAGGTAAAGATAAGGTCTAAGAGTCAGTCATGACATCAGGGAGAGAGGGTGTTGGGGATGGCTAAGAGGAATGTTCACAGGGCAATGTTTTCAACGATGCCGTACATAGACTGGGCCCTGCCTCTGTTTACCAGCCGGGAGAGATTCAGATAATGAACCATGAAAGTCTGCTCTGCCGCAGCACTCAGCAATAATTTTTCATTTGCCACCAGTCGGCTTCAGGGATCAAGGAGAGCTAAACATATAACCTGCTCATGCATGTTATTTTAAAGGCATATTTTAAAGTTATAAAAATGGTACATTGAGTTAATGGGGTATGTTCTTTTGGCGGCAAATATTTACATTCTACTTATGCTTCTCCATGTCGAGAGTGTAACCATGTCATTTTCTTCTTTTTCTCAGGAGGCTGGGATGCAGATGGAAAAGGCCCTAGTGTCTGGGATACATTCACCCATCAGGGAGGAGAGAGAGTGTTCAAGAACCAGACTGGCGATGTAGCTTGTGGCAGCTATACTCTGTGGGAGGAAGATTTGAAATGTATCAAACAGCTTGGATTGACTCATTACCGCTTCTCTCTTTCCTGGTCACGTCTGTTACCTGATGGGACGACAGGTTTCATCAACCAGAAAGGCAAGTGTTTCTTAAAAATAGAAGGTTGCAGCTTTAATTCAAGGTTATTGCTGCAGTCTGGCATAATTAATCCAGTATGCTATTCTGCAGTGTAGCTTTGAAATGGTAACTTTTTAGAGTGATTATAGGGTAATATTTTGAGATGGGTATGCATTACTTTTCCTCGATGATGATGATATAGATATGTATATATATACATGCATGTATATGTGTGTATATATATATATATATATATATATATATACGCACACACGTATATTTTCCTCTTAATTGGAAAGCTATGCTGGACAAGGAGAGGAGGTAATAGAGTAACAGGAAGGGGATTGGAGTAACTGTTTCTAAAAGTAAGCTGTTACTTGAGAGTGAAACTGACAGTGTAGCACTGTAGTAGCACCTTCTTCCAGTTGTTCATCAATTTGCTGCAAATTGATGAACAACGGGAAGCCAGTGCTACTACAGTAAAGTATCCGTTGTGAGACTTGTTGTTACTGTTTTCGAAAAATTGATGCCAAGTGGAGCTGCCTTGGGGCCAGGATATGCTCAGGTAGCTTGCCTGACTCTCCAAGACGGACAGAGAAATCGAACCAGGGTAGGCCGCATGCAAGGTGAACGCCCTACCAGCTGTGCTATGTGTTCAACTATTTGCTGTTGAGTTGTACTGTGATGAGTAATGAAGAGGCCTGTGAAACTTGAGGGGATTCTGAACATTTCCATTGGACCCGAGTTCCTGGAGCTCATTAATTTGTAGCAAGGTCTCTGATTTGGAACTAGCTATAACCATCACCTATTATTTTTTAATTTTTTTAATGAATCACCATGAGGTATAGTTACAGACTTACAAACTTCCATGCTTACGTTTCAGTCATACAATGATTGAGTACCCATTCTTCCACCAGTGTCCATTCTCTACCACTAATATTCCCAGTATCCCTCCCACCACCCCCACTTCATACCCCCAACCCCACCCCACCCCTACTCTGTGGCGGGGCATTCCCTTTTACTCTCTCTCTCCTTTTAGGTATTGTGGTTTGCAATATAGGTATTAAGTGGTCATCATGTTCTGTTTATAGTCTACTTTCAGCACACAACTCCCGTCCTGAGCGGGCCTTCCAAGCACCCTGTACCTCATGGTCCCTTCTCTATCTGAGCTGTCCTTTCCCCCAGGATGACCATCACTTATTATTGACATAAGCATTGCTTGGTGCCTCAGTTTCCCCTCAAATAGAAAGGCTACTATAATATTTCCTTCTTCAGAGAGTTGTAGGAGATTAGATGAAATAACCTTTGCAAAGTGCTTTACAAATTGGCTGATTTGTCATAAAAACATTCAATAAATGCTAGCTAGCCTTATTATTATGCATTGCAATTAAAAAGGACTGCTGCCCCATTTGAATGCCTGCATTTATGAGGCATTTTACAGACATTTTTTTTCTAACCCCCACAATCATTGAGGAAGGTATAATTATCACATTTTGCAGACATGCTTATTCAAACCCAGATGTTTGGTAGATGGAAGGTGTGGAATTTAAACCTGAGACCTGGCTGGCCCCTCCACACACAAGGTTACATGGGTCCTAAGTCCTATTTTCATAAACATAGTTGTGCTCACTCATGGCCTGCAGTGGCATCTCTTCTCCAGGGCACTGGGCAAGCATGGGAAGGACCAGTAAAACTTGTAAAAAGTACTGTTCTTTACAGGAAACATGACCCCAGTGTTACAATTCAGTGAAGTCTTTACAAAGAAGTTTGTTGCTATTGTGTCTTGGAAAAGACTTCACACACACTCATAGGTGAGGCAAGTGAAGTAACGAAGGTACAATGTTGAAGGAGCCAGGAAGATCCCATTTGCAAGATGAGCACTGATGCAAACCCAACAGCATCTACTCCATACTTTGGGTTTCCAGAGTCCTCATCAATTCTAAGGAATTCTTTTGAGTTGTTTGCCTGTTTGCTCACACAGGAGGAGCAGGAGGGGGGTGGTAAATCTTATTTATTTATTGAATCACTATGAGTCACAAAGGTACAAAGTAATTCATGGTTGAGTTCCGGGGACAATGTTCTGACATCAATCCATTCGTGTCCACTTCCCTCTGTCGGTGTTGTTCCTCTTCCTTCTGCTCTCAGCAGACTCTTTTATCTTTTTACTTTTCTTTTTTTCTTTTAGGCACTGTGGTTCACCAGAGTGTTGCTGATAGGGTATGATGCATATCACTTTACCTCCTTTTAGCACCTAGTCTTCCTTCCAAGTGTCCACTTCCACCACCATTAACCTGGTGTTCCCTTCCTTGAGCCACCTCCTCACGCTCCTTTCTCCCCAGTGGCAAGCTTCCTACTGAAGATTAGTTCTCAGGCTCTTTTGCCTTTAGCTATCTGTTATTCATCATGGCCATACTCATTTCATGTAAAGGGGGATAATCTCCAGATGGTAAAATGGAACTGCAACTCACAGTGGCTTCCAAATAGTGTCTCACTAATAGGGACAATGCAGACTTAATAGGTCCCAATTGCTGCTGATAAATTCTTCAACAAACAAACAAGTGAGCTAATGTTGGTTTACATATCTAACACTTATGTGGTACAATTTCATGTCTCTTAAAATTGGTACAGGGGCCAGAGCCATAGTACCACAGATAGAACATTTGCCTTGCACGTGGCTGACCCAGATTCAATCCCTAGCATCCATATGGTCCCCCGAGCACCACCAGGAAGAATTCCTGAGTGCAGAGTCAGGAGTTACCCCCGAGCACTGCTAGGGGTAAGCCAAAAAAGTGAAAAAACAAAACAAAAACAAAACAGGTAAACAACTCAAAAGAATTCCCTAGAATTGATGAGGACTCTGGAAACCCAAAGTATGGAGTAGATGCTGTTGGGTTTGTATCAGTGCTCATCTTGCAAATGGGATCTTTCTGGTTCTTTCAATATTGTACCTTAGTTACTTCACTTTATGCGTGTGTGTGGTCTTTTCCAAGACACAATAGCAACAAACTTCTTTGTAATACCATATCTACCCTTACTTATATTCCTTCATTTAACACCACTGGGTACTCTCCTGATTAAAATCCTCTCTGCTTTTGGCAGCCTCAGTATTGATCAGGGTCCAAGGGTTTATTTTTCTTCACGTAATCACACTTAACTTCCCGTTAGTCGTCGATTTGCTCGAGCTGGCACCAGTAACGTCTCCATTTGTCCCTGTCGCGTGCTAGTGTAGCCCAATGGCATCTGTTCGCTCCGGGAACATGAAGGGCCTCAAACCGATCGTTCATGATCTTCACGAAGAAGTCTGACCATCTGGTAGGTGGGCGGCCACGCGGTCTTTTGACATCCCGTGGAATCCAATCAGTAACAGCTCTAGTCCAACGGTCGTCTTTAAATCTCATTACGTGACCAGCCCATCTGATTTTCGACACCTTGGCAAATGAGACAGCGTCCCTGATCCTTGATCGTCGACGGATGTCAGAACTCCGGATTCGTTCTCTCATTTGAGTGAAACGTGATATTCCAAGCATAGCTCTTTCTATTCTTCTTTGGGAGACCTGAATGGCGTTCTCATCTTGTTTGCGTAGGGCCCAGGTCTCTGAGGCATATGTTAATGCAGGAAGAACAGTGGAATCAAAGAGATGTGCCCGGAGCCGGAGGTTCTTCGTCTTCTTAGCTATTTCTTCGACGTTCTTGAAGGCGTTCCAAGCCGCTCTCTTCCTCCTGCGCAGCTCGGGTGCCAGGTCATTTGTCATGTTGACCTCTCGACCTAGGTAGACATAGCTGTTGCATTCGGAGATGGTCGTTCCATTGAGAGCGAATGGGGCGTCAGGAACAAGGCTGTTTCTCATAAACATTGTCTTCGTAAGATTCAGCTGTAGTCCTACCTTTCCACACTCACGGTCAAAGTCGGCCAGCATTTGTGCCGCTTGGTTGATGTTTGGTGTTATTAAAACAATGTCATCAGCAAAGCGGAGGTGGTGTAATTGCCGACCATCTATCTTCACTCCCATTCCTTCCCATTCCAGTCGTCGCATGATGTTCTCGAGGGTGGCACTGAAGAGTTTCGGTGAAATGGTATCACCCTGCCGCACCCCTCTCTTGACATCAACGATCACTTCTTTGTAGAATGGTGAGATCCTGGTAGTGAATCCGCAATAGAGCTCACAGAGGATCCTGATGTATTGGGCTTGAATGCCCTGATTGGCTAGGGCTTCAATGACCGCTTCCGTCTCAACAGAATCAAAGGCCTTCTTTAAATCAATGAACGTTAAGCAGAGCGGCATCTTGAACTCCCGAGAAACCTCAATGAGCTTGGTTATTGTGTGGATATGGTCGATGGTGCTGAATCCTTTGCGGAACCCTGCTTGCTCGCATGGTTGTCCTTCATCTAATGTTCTGCCAATCCTATTCAGGATGACTCGAGTGAACAACTTGTAGATGACAGACAATAGGCAGATCGGGCGATAGTTGCCAATGTCATGGATGTCTCCCTTCTTGAACAGTAGTACGATCCTGCTGGTTTTTCATTGGGACGGAACCTTGCATTCAGACAGGTAGCGAGTGAAGAGCCGAGCCAGTGTATTGATGAGTACTGACGGCAGGTTCTTCAGGTGTTCAGGTCTGACCTTGTCTGGGCCGGGTGCTGTTTGTTTCTTTACCAACGAAATGGCGTGTCGGATTTCGGAGGGGAGAACGTTGGGAACAACATACCCATCCTGTGGAATTTGGTATGTTGGCAAGTGGACATGGCTATCGAAGAGATTTGAGTAGAAGTCATGGATAATCTTCTCCATTGCCGTTCTGGAGGATGTGATGGATCCATCAGGACGTCGGAGGGCAGTCATCTTGCTCTTATAGTTGGCGAAGGACAGGCGGGCCTTACGAATACTTTTCCCGGCTTCTGCCGCATCTACCAGTGCTTCTGCTCTTCTCTCTTTGAGGTCTTCCTTGATCGCATCTCTGCACTGCTTTGCAAGCTCGGACGTTAGCTTGCGGTTGCCTGAGGCATGCGCCAAACCACG